GTAGTACGATGTAGGAAGGAGGGCAATCGTACATCACAACGCCTTGCGATGGATGCAAAGTTCGTCATGGCGATGCATTGCCGAGCGCGTGACTGTTTCTGGGCGTTCTGTCAGCGACCGGACTCATCGATTCCCGTGCTCGTAGCCAGACATGGCCACCATGTGTGTTCGCAGCGCTCCTACCCGCTCACACGCCGAGGCTACTGTACAACTAATCTACCTACTATTAATACATACTACATGTAGTAATCTTGCCGAGCGTCGTATCGCCCTTTTGTCTGATCGCATCGTTCCAGCAAAAACAAGAACTTGGACGTCACCGCTGCAGACTGCAGCTGCAGTGCAGTGGTGCCATTCAATGGCATTCATATATCGGAGCCTGCGAGTTGCGACTCTTTTTTGTCAATCATGTGTCGCATCTGTAAACGGCCAAAGCCACTTGGCCTCAGTATGCCCCAGATCCGTCTGGGGCTCCTCTAGGCAACTGACTCCTTTCATTCGCGGCATTTGGCGACATTGAAAACAAGGGACGGTAGTGGGATAGCGTAGCGCCAATTTCTCCTATCTAGACAGCCATGAGGACGGTGGCCGACGTGTCCACCGACGACCTGGTCAGTAGTCTCCTTAACTCCGTCACCACGGGGGGATCCTCGACGTCCTCAACCACATCCACCACCCCGTCCACCTCGACCGGCACTTCGCCCACCACTTCGTCCACCTCGGCAACAAGGACTTCAGCACCTCCGTCTGTTTCTTCCTCGACGCTTTCTTCCGCTTCAGCGTCGCAAAGTGCGTCTTCCTCCTCAAACGATGCGTCTCCGGCCACAGACGCCCCGGATACGACGAGTGCGGTCACCACTGCACCAGCCACCACTGCTCCTTCTCCAGCTGATTCTTCTTCTACAGGTGCAGGCGAGACAGCAACAAAAGGCACGACAGAAGGCAGCGACGACGGAGGTGGCGGCGGCGGCAGCGGCGCCGGCCTCTTTATCGGTATCGCTCTGGGAGTCTTGGCCCTCGTGATTGCCGCCTTGTTGTTCATGAGATCACGCAGGAAACGCTCGCAGAAAGAACGCGAGTCGGCTTCTTCTCCTCCGGCAGAAACCACATGCTTAGCGGTGCCGGCCGATCGAGGCTTCAAGAAGGAACAGGAACTGGGCTTACCGGAAATGTCCATCGAGCTCACACCGGGAGAGCTAGGCATGTCCAAGGGCTTCGACATGAGCTATGCCAGCTCGACGAGATCCAGCGCCACCAGTCAGCCGTACAACTCCAGTCTTGCGAGCAGCACTGACAGTAGCGTTTTTAACACAAGAGGAGGCGTAAGCCCAACATTTAGCAACCGCAAGATGGCCAGCTACTCGTACCAGTACCGCGAGTCGGAGGAGAACGGCAACGTCAACCCCAACACGTCATCGGCACGCAGTAATGACAGTACAACGTTCCATCTTACGGGTTTGATCGGCAACGGAGCAACAGCAAGTGGCCGGGGACCCAGCAATCAGACCCGTGGCCGGAAACTTTCGGCTCCGGACGAGTACGCAGAATTGGTGACGGCCACAAATGCACACGGCAAAGTTGACATGAACGCGCACAACCAAGCGCCCCTGGCGATGCACGCAGACTTCACACAGAGCACCGCCAGTCAGAACGAAATGAACGTCAGCATGGGACCGGACAATGACAACCACAGTTTCTTGGCGCCACTTCCGACACGACCGGCACCTGCGCCGGCATCTCGTCCGACACCGACCATTGTCCGTGCCTCTGAGGAAAGCATGGGTCCGGACTCGCCTGTAGCTGGCCGTGGCAAGCGGACAGGATCTGTGTATGACACGATCCCGAACTTGTCGGGAGAGAAGATGTCGGCGTCTGCGTCGACGCGGAGTTCAGTGGAAGACCCGAACGCCATGTCGACCGCTTCGTTCCTGTCCGAGTCGTCGATCTCGTCTACGTCGACCAGAGACAGTGTGGCCACATCAGCTCGAGGCTCGGCGTACGTCTCTTCGATGCCCTTGCTGCAACAGCTTTCAAGTGCCGACGACAGCGACTACGGTGAGGATGTTTCGTCCGAACGCGCGTCGACTGAGTTTTCAGACAGCGCCAACACGGCACGCTCCGGTTCGCTCATCGCAATGAACTTGGAGGCCAAGGACGGCTGCAGCGAGATCGCCATTTAGCTTCAAGAGGTCAACATGACGACTCGCAAGTGTATGTATTTAGCAGTGCGCTTGTGCTGACAAGTGCGCGGCTTCTTCGTCGGACTACTTAATGATTTTTTTTGGATGCAAAGGGGCTTGGTACGAAGGTCAAGCGGCATAATAAATGAAGCGAAAGCTTGCGTTATTGGCGTTTGGATGGCAGCCGCAACTGCTACTTTCTCGTGTGGGTGCCTTTTTCATTGCCTTATGCTGGTCTGTCACTCTCCTTAGTTGATGTCGGCGGGACGCAGTGAATCGGCGCGGCTCTCGTCCGAGTATTCCGGATTGTTGTAGTCCACGTCGGCAAAGTAGTGCGCCTTACGCTTGCGTGTGCGACGCAGGTGTCCGGGCTGCATGTAGTACTGGTCAGGCTCGTCCGCATTGATAGCCACACTTCCCACGTTGTAACCACGCGAGCGGTAGAGGGTCTTGTTGGGGTAGTACAGCACATCCTGGCCCAGGTGGTTAACATAGGGCGCGTCCGAGTGCGCCACGGTCTCACGCTTCTCCCAGTTCTCCGGAAGTTGACCGCCCTCACCTGGAAGTGAGTCCGTCACGTGGTGCATCCACAGGTGCCATTGAGGACCAATGAGCGTTCCTTCCACCTCGTCCCACGAGTCCACCTTGTACTCAGTCCAGCGGTGCTGTCCGTACACTTCGGTAGGGTCCTCGTAGTACTTGAATCCGTTCTCGTCTTCGCCCACAAAGCGTCCGAACTTGACGTCACCTGGATTGTAGAGTTTCCACAACGCGCCCTTCCAGCCGTAGCGCTTGTTCGCCTCCAGGTACTTTTCAAACACCGTGTAGAACGAGCGTGTCTGCATCGACTTTACGAGTGCCACTGACTGACGCTGGATCAGACGCCCGCCCAGAGCGAGCGCCGAGTGTCGACCACTAGCAATGACCATACTCTTCTTGAGACTGAGAGCGTTCAGAGCCGCAAATTTTGGCCTTCTCCCTTAAATGCTCGCCTAAGTGCGATAGCTGGTG